GCACTGGCCGATTCGGGTGGGTGGAGGACAGGGCTTTCCTGAGGCAGCACAGCATTTCAAAGTATTTCATGACTTCATGAGTGCATGTTTGGCATTGCAACGTTGCTCGCACTCTGCTCCATTCAACATTCTGTTTTTCCCAAGTGAAAGCGGACGGTTCACGGTTCTCATCACCAGCTAGAACAGCCTGGTACACGTGTGGCTTTACTGCAACCCTTACAACATGAAACAAGACAGATTTGGCAGCTTGGAGCCCACATCTGGCACGCATTGAGTGATCTATTGATCAACAAGCTGCATCCGTTCCCTGGCTTTCAGCCAAGCACTCAAAACTGCCTGACAAAAAGCGGTTGCGAAAGCTGCCGAGCTGGCAAGATGCTTCCCTCCTTGCCAGCCTGATTTGCCAGCTGAACTCACTGTACGATGGTAGTAATCCTGAGACGCGTAATCACAGGACGCAGCTGGCTTCATCACTTACAAATGGACGCAGCTGGCTTCATCACTTACAGGCAAAATGGAGCCAAGTCTCCTTCTTTGTCGACCTCTTGGCTTGTCTTCGCGAAAAGCGTTTCTGCGATAGCACAAGGAACAAGGCAAGCGGTCAACAAAATTCAGACTCACAGCAACTTGCTACAAAATGAAGTGGCGGGAATGCTCTACAAAATGAAGCAGCAGCATGCAAAATCCTGGACTCATGGCAAGCAGCCTTGAATCTAGACTTGTCTTCCTTCTTCATCTTCCGTGCCAAAGTAGTCTCTGCTTCCCTAAGGTAAAATCTCTCAAAAATATTGCTAGCCTAGAGAGCTTGTCCCAACTCATCTTGTTACATTTATGTATTTCATGTCATCTTGCCTGAATTGCATTCAAGCGTCTTGAAGTTCGATTGAAGGTGTGTTGCCTTCAGAAGGTCGTGGGAGAAGAATGCCATCCAGGTGAGAGTGAGTGACCTGGGCGCGAGCTACATCACCATAAAAAAATCCATTACAATCCATTACATAGTTCTGTACAGTTCTGTAATCATTGCCTGAAAGATCTTTCCTCAACGCTTTAGGCAATATTTCCCTGAAAATCTTAGCAAAGCCAAGAATCAAACCCATTGCCCCAATGAGCCTGATGAATTCAGGCTGCTTGAAGGCCCAGCTTCCAGAAGGTTGCTCAATCAGTGTAAGCAGGCCCGGGCGGATCTCGTTCATGAGCACCATAAAGGAGATCTTGGATCGAGGTGGGCCCAGCATTCACAGGGGCCCTCCATGAGGTCAACAAAATTCACATTAGAGGGATCCCTGTCTAGATTTCCTCTACTAAATGGGGCGTCTCAAGATCTGCACAGAATGAGGTACCCAAGACTACTATTTGCCTAACCAAGAATGCTGGAATACAAATTGTTGATGCAGCAGGGTTTGTTGAAATCCCGGTCCCTGTGCCGCCCAGAAGCAAAGTTTGACCAAATTCGCGCTGCCAATCTGACCTTGAAGCGGGAAAGATCACCACGCACGTTGTGTATAGTACGTTTGTGCACGGAGCTGCACGCTGGGCCATACATTGAACACGGCGGCGCAGCAATCAAGATCCCGTCATCTTTGACCCTTAGTTGGAGTCACCGATTTCACTTGATTGTCGTTGCAATTGCACAAAGAAGCATTGGCATTGTTTTAGGACAAGCAAGATTTATCTTGGATACTCTTGGCTTAACCAGGAATGCTGGAATAGACAAAAGAATACAAATGAAAGGACGACCCCCTGATTTCAGCAGAGAGAGTCAAGACAATTGGAATGAGCCAAAGACAGAACAGTGAATTTTGTAGAGAAAAATGTTTCTACAAAATCCAGCTGCGTCAAGTTGCTGCATTCCTAGCCTTAAAAGGCAGAAGAAGCCATTCTCAGAGCATAGGTCATGCATCTCATCCAATTTCAAATCATATGAAATGGAAGAGAACCCGTGGCTCTTCCAGACTTTGGTCACTTGCTCCGAAGCGCCAAAAATATCGAGCGCATCAAAGACCTTCCCGCTCTTGCGGTGCAGCATCCAGGCCCACTGCGTCAAGTCCTGCATGTGGTCCTCTGCTTTGAACCACCTGAGTGAAGAAACATGTTATTGAAGTACCTGGGACATGAATGAACATGTTCATTCTGTCAAGTCTTAGTCAGCTAATATATGAACTGCAAGCAAAGAACATGTTTTCTGGCATGGTGCACGTGGTATCATCACGGATTGATGGCAGCTTGCCACAGGAGCACAGCTGCAAAGCCGCCAACACCAGCAACCATGGGGACATGCTGAACCAGGCTTCTCACACCAATACACCAATGAGCCAAGGTTCTACCAAATGCATCCAAATATATCCAAATGCATTCAGTTTATTCAAGTGTGAGAAAGAACATAACACCAGAGACACCAAACATCAGAGCAACCAAGACTCCAATGTCGGCCGTACCTTGCTGATTGCAAGGGTCCATGACCATTTG